GCACATTTCCTTATCCTACCTGCTGCTGTTCCTCTCTGCAGTTTGCATCCAGAGTCCCACTTCATGAGAGGAGTTGACAGGATCTGCAGCAGAGGAGACCCTGTGTGGACCAAGTGTCCCTGTCGGTGGCACAGGAGCTGTCCTAGGCTCCTTCTAGGGTAGCTGTGCTGACTGTTCCTTTACCCTCCTTTCATTTCTTAGCTGGAGGCAAAGTTGCACTACATATATTGATGTCACTTTTCTCCCCTACATGGTCACGTAGTTAGCTCTTTGTGGGTCACACAGGCAGATGGAGAAATCTGAGTAGTTACTGAGTCACAAAAAGAGCAGACTTCCTAAGATGTCTCCTCGTAGCTGATTCCCTTGTATTTTCTTTCAGATGACAGACTTTCTAAGTGCATTTCCAGCACACTCTGTTAACTTCACTATTCACTTATGTAGAAAGCACTACAGCTAAAGCAGTTCGCTGCTAGATGTCCCCTCTGTGTGCCTTGATCAGTGACCTCCCAGTGCTCCTATGACAAAGACTAAACTCTTACGTCTGGAAGACGTCCACCTTAGACAGCGTCTCTCATATTTTCAGCTGTTTTTCTTCCTAAACCTACTGTTCTGGCCACATGGTCCCCTGATTCATATTCTCTCTCTCTCTCTCTCTCTCTCTCTCTCTCTCTCTTTTTCTCTCTCTCTGGATAATAAGAAAGGTCATTAGGAATCATAAAATTGCTTTATTTCCTTCTTATTCTATTGGAAATTCCATAAATAACATTGGATGAAATATTTAATATTTATGATTGAAATATGAATATTCTTAGCAGGTATATTTAAATACATTTAAAGAATGAATACATACACATATATAGAAGAAATATATATGAGAATAGCCTCAGGCCTGTTGTGTTAACTTTTTTCTGCACAGATAAATTGAAACCATTAGACTAAACACCCAGAACTGTTAATATGCAGGTATTTCTTTTACTACAAAAAGATGTTGTGTGGTCCAACCTCTAGTCCTGTGTTCTAGGTTATTCTTCCAGGGCTGTGTCATAAAGTCCAGTTGAACAATTAACAGAGAAATGCTATTCAGAGCTGGGAGTTGGGTTCTAAACACTGCTTCTCAGCGCACGTTCCGTACTTTATCAGAAATACCAGTTGGAATACATCCTCCTCGTGGATATCAAATTCATGAGATTTGATTCATGAGCTTTAAACTCAGGATGATCCCCCACTGTAGTTACACCTCAAAGCAAGCATTTCGGACAACAAAATGAGTCATTTGTTGGACCAGTGATTTTTACCGGTTGAAAGCAAACCCTTCACTTGGATCAAATATTCAAAAGTAGAAACAAATCCATGAGACCCCAGGACGTTTCAGGAGGACATCAGAGGGGACGCCGGAATCCTAGGGGAAGTGCGATGCAGAGCTGCGTGTGCCACACTTCCTGGAGCCTCGCGGGTTTTGCTGGGTGAGGGCTGTGCTGCTGGGCCTCTGTGCTCCTCTAAGTGCATCAGAGAGAGGCAGTTCCAGGCCACAAGGGTGCTTGTCCTTCTCCTTCCCCTTGTCATTCTCCCAGCGCTCTCACATGGGACATTAATGGAATAAAGCTTTCAAGCAAGCAGGAAGATCTGTAAAGGTTTTATAAGGCTAGCAAAGACTTACTAAGCATCATGGTATATGGCTTAGCTTTCTATTTAAAAAAATTTAAAGAAAATTCAAATTTAAAATATTGGGCCAGGCCTGATGGCACACACCTGTAATCCTGGCCCTCCAGGAGGCTGAGGCAGGGAGGAGATTCATGGGTTCAAAACCAGCTCAGACTATATGCCACCAACACAATGTCAAAAAACCTAAAAAAAAAATACTGGAAAGTCACTTAAAATGGTATTGTTTAAATTGTAAATCTAAAAATGTTATATGCAGTCCTATCTGCTAAGTATCTACAATTTCTAGGTTTTTAAATTTGGAAATCTGAAGATGAGTAAATTTGTTTACATTGGAGTGTTAAGTAGTAAAGTTTCCTGTAGTTTAAAAGCAAAACAAAACCTGACATGTGGTGTAGGACTGTAATATACCAGCACTCGGGGACCCTGAGGCCTAGCCTGAACAACTTAGAAACTTAGCAAAACCCTGCCTCAACATAAAAAATAAAGGACTGGGGATGTGGCTCAGTGTGAAGGCCCTGAATTCAGTCCCCGGTATTGGGGCCGGGCTGGAGCAGTGTGGATGACCTCAAGTTATTTTCCCATTATTACACTTGAGGAAAAGGGCACAATTATAGCTGAGCTGAAACTCTCTGAAGCCAGCGGCTGAATTCCTACCACACTGGTCATTTGCCCTTCAGGACCACTGACACCAAGTTAACATAGGTTTGCTTTCCCTTGGGCTGTCTGAGGAAAGAGAAGCCAGTTTGGGGGAGGGGGAAGGGGTAGGAATGAGCCAGAAAGACTCTGTGCAGCATACTGATTCTTGCACTGAGCTGCCCTTCGTTAGATTATCTCACTTAACTGTCACAACTCTGAGCACTGTTCCCCCTTTCCGGAGGGGGAAATTAAGACTTAGCTATGTGCTTAGGATTCACAGCTCATAAGTGGCACAGCCAGATTCCCTAGCTCTAAAACCCACGACGAACTCTCCCAGATGCTGAGTATGCAATGCCTAGGATTCTGGAAGACCAAGAAAGCTGGGAGAAAGGGGACCTTAAAACATCTCCTGCGTGCCAGCCTCTGTAGTAGATTCTTAACACACGTCTTCTCAACTAACCAACCCAACCACGCCGTGATTCGGACAGTATTACCTCAGATTACCACTTAGAGAAGTCAGGTGACTTTGCGATCACTTAGCAATAAGTCGGGGCTAAGATTTGAATCTAGTCTCTCTCTTTTGCTTTCACCATGAACCAAAGAAAAAATTGAAGGAACATACACCCTTACAGTGACAGAAGAGAGAATGATAATAGAAGCATGAAAATGTTAGCAATACATTTAGCTCAATGGCTATAGACTAGCAGTGCCTATTCTTGGACTAAACAGCCTAAAAATCTTTAAAATAAAATTGTTTGTATTTTGCTAAATGTAACCTATCAGTTGTACATGATCATAGAAAATTTCCTCAGATGGATTTTAAATTTGTTTTGTGATGAGTATGACTTCAGAGGTCTCCTGGATTGGAAATGAATTCCCAACCCCCAGGCAGGCAGGCAGGCAGATGTCTGAAGTGCAGTTCAAATGGCTCAAGTTCGAGTCAAATGTAGATAAGTGCAAGTAACCAGACCTCCAGTGTAATTGAAACTTATTTTTGACATTTGAATTGCAGGAGAATAAAGTAAATTACAATGAAATCCCCCACCCACCCAAGAGGAAACTTTTATTGGGGCTTATTCACATTAGTGACTCCTACTGAACATGTGTTGGGGTCTTGTTTGTCATTCATGGCCTGGTTGTTGTATAGTATTCTGTTAGGGTTGATGTATGTTGCAAGGACCTGGGGTACTAAGGCGTCACTCATCAGAGAAGAATTAAATGCTGTGGATTACAGCCAGACAAGAAAGTAATGAAAACATCTGAAATATATTCTATACCAGTAGAGCTAATTATGTTTCACTTACCTAGAAAGAATAAGTAGAATATTCCTAAATAGCTGAGCTAATTAAAGCCTTAGAGCTTAGGCTACAGGTGATCATAAAATAAGAAAATTGTAATCAAATCCCAGTGGCACTGCTTCTTTCTGGTTATCTTTGGTAAGTGTCCACTTCTTTATGAGTAGTTTTTAAAAGATTAGCTTGTGAAATAAGGAGAAAGCTGTCTCTACCACAGTGAGCAACAGAGGTTCCAGCTGTAGTGAAGTTTTAGTCTTTTGAGCGCTGTCTCTAATGTCGCAAGACTATGAGCCACGCCCGACAGGTCTGAGCTTACCCCATCTGTGGTGACAACTGACCAGAGGTTCTGGCAGGTGGGATGAGGGCACTTACTGACGGTGGCATTGCAGAGCAGGACTTACCTGCAAGTTACCACCTGGACCAGCCTCAGGGCCTATCCCGGTTCGCTCATTCATCTTGATTTGTCCCCTTCCCTGAGCCCGCCTATGCACATATAACACAACCCTGTTGCAATGGGAGAATGGAAGGTTAATTTTCCTCAAAGTGCCAAAGTCCTGTTAGAAACCGCTGATTGACGCCAGATATTAAGGTGTGTACTTGTAATCCCCACACTCAGAGAGGTTGAGGCAGGGGGATCACAAGTTTGAGCCCAGCTTGGGCAACTTAGCAAGCTCCTGTTTTAAAACAAAAAACAAAACAAAAACAAAAACAACAACAACAAAAAAAATATATATATATATAAAAGGGCTAGGGTCATTGGTAATGCTCTCTAGTCAATCCCTCAGTATTCAAAAAAGCCTCTGAACATGTTAAATAAAATATTTTGTGTAATTTATCCAAACCTGGAGGACCCTGTAGGTCTCATAACCAGAGAAGTGCTGTTATTGTTGCCTTCTGTTCCTCTCCTGGAATACATTTTCCTTTGTGTCTTCATTAATCTTTGTTGTTAAACTTTGGCAAAAGACTTTTTCAAAATCCTAGTAAATAGTATCTCCCGCTTGCCCTCTGGTGATGTACGTAGTATATTGGAGCTTTTCAGTTCCTAGAGCATGAATTTCCTAAGCACTAAGATCAAAGACTTTAGTTTCCCATCCTGTTTCCACATGACTGCTCTCTGTGCAGCTGGGACAGCTGGGAAGGCGCACTTCACAGACCCTGGAATGGGCCACTAGCCCAGGACTGGTCACCCAAGCTAAGGTGGTTGGTTTTTGTATGTGTCCTTCTCACTAAACTGTACCCTTCTTGCAGATGGAGGTTGTAGCTGCTTCACCTTTTCATTTCCTGAATTTAGTTTAGCCTTGTATCTGATAAAAAAAAAAGTTAAGAGAAAATCTTGAATGGATGAATGTTTTCTGTATAAACACTAACAAACTAAATGTGTCTTTTCTCTTTTGTCTCGTTTTATAGCGCCTGACAGCTATAAAGTGCAAGATAAGAAAACTGCCCCCAACCGCCCTGCCGCGACAATTTCGGGACAGAACAGCAGCCACTCAGGAAGTAAACCAGGTACGATGCATGGCATTCACTTTTGGAAAGTAAAGATTCTTCAAAAGCCTGGAGCATGCTGATAAATGATAAAGTAACACTAGAGTTTGGGAGAGCTTCGAGTCCCACTGTGAAGCACGCTCATACTTTCTTTGTGTGGTCTGAGAACCTCTTAAAGCCTTGGTTTTCTCTCTTTAAAATGGAGATTCAGTCATATAGCCTGCTTGCTTCTCAGAATCATTTTGATAGTTGAGACATACCCACCATTGAGGTGGTTTGTGTGGGTACATTTGTTTCCTGTCAAGCAATGTGTAAGAGGTAATAATTTTATTACTGTTCAAAATTATGGCTGTGCACGTGTGGTTATTCCAGCTTTTGCTGCAAGCCCAGCATTCTTGCATATCTCTTTTGTGACTTTTTCAAAAAACCACTTAAAGAAATCTTTACACACAGCAGAGCTCCCGAAGAATCGTGTTTTTGTTCCCTGTTCCCTGAAATGGTTGTACACCTACACAGTAATTTTGTTTAATAACCTGTGATTCATGATCTGTTCCACTCCGTGCTACAAAGAAGCAAACAGTGTAAACATAATACAAACAATTGAACAGACAGCCAGTTTCCCCAGGGATCCCGCTGTGCTTCTTGGGAGGGATGAGAGACAGTCAGACAAAAGGAAAGCAAGCTGAAGACTCCAAAAGCCACTTCATGCTGCATGGAAGGCCAGAGTCACTCAAGAACAGTGCATCAGTGAGAATAAAGATGGAAATAACCACGTCTAATCTCATGGAAAACATTGTCTGTTAACCTTCATCTTGGAGATTTTTTTTTTTTTCATGTGGAAAACGTCTTGATAAATCTGGCCTGTCACAGAGAAGGAAGACAATAGCAAGTATTGTTGTAAGTGTTGCTTGACCAGCTGTTGGTGGAAAATGATGTGCAGTTTCAGTGTAGTTCTAATCAGCAGGCCGAGATTTCCCTCTGTAGTCAGCTTACCTGTTCATTCATTCGTTTACCCATCCGTCTACCCACCTAACTCCCAGCCACCACCTAATATTTACTGAGCAGACTTTTCTGTGCCCGGGAGTATGCGCGGGGCTGTGGGAACGGACAACGTGATCTGAGCTCATTGGAGTGGACTTTTGTTCCTTACGCTCCAGGGAGCACCTCTGCAGAAGTTCTACCTCTTTATTTTACCGTGAGAATTTAATATAGCTAATGTGTTTGTAGCGTTTTTCTCTTGCTCTTCGCATTCACCATTATTTCCAATTTCTACCATTCTTTCCTGGGCAGTTAGTTTCTGTATGTTCTGATAACTCACTCGCTCACTCATGTAGGGTTAGCACCATGGAGTCCCCAGGGGTATGTTATTGAAAGACACAGTCCCGGCCCTCCAGGAGACAGTGTGGGGGAGTGAGCAGTCAGCCTATGTGCGGATCCCTGTAACAGCGCACCCGTGAGGAGGCATGAACACAGAGGCCATACGTCTCCTCCAGCCCACGTGGCCATCTCTTCAGAGAGCTGCTCCATTCACTTTGCTCAGAGGAGACAGAGATACTTCCTTTCTGATCATGTCTGTTGGACATCTCTGAATGTGTATGCACTTTCTTGTGTATGCAGATAGCAAAGATGTATTAAAGGCCGTTGTTTCAGGAAACATGGCGTTATTTTTCTGAGCCTCTCCGAAGGATGATTTGAAAGGTTACGGTAGGAGGTTGGGCTATAGTAAAACCTGATTTTATGGGACTCTGTCTAAAGCACTTGGTTGGTTTTTATCCTCTAGGACTCAAAATGAAAAAAAGTGTGATATTTTTGAGTACTTTCTTAACCAGATGTGGTTATGCTAATAAGTTTACAGTACTGGTAAATGAGTAAATGTCAGCTAAATTTCCTTTCCTGCATTACAGGCACGTGTCTGTAATCTCAGCTACTCAGAAGGCTGAGGCAGCAGGACTGCAAGTTCTAGACCAGCCCGGGAAGCTTAGTGAGGCCAGGCCCTGTGTCAAAATTAACAAAACAAAACCAGGTTGAGAGTGTAGCTCAGTGCTCCACAGGTTCGATCCACAATGCCACGAATACAGACACACACATATACATGTGATAGAAGCTGAACGGGCACTTTATACCTAAAGGAGCATCCTGCCCCATACCACCCAGCAAGGGCCATTGCTCTCTGCTGTGTGTGCTCAACGCCAGACCCAGAGAGACAGGCTGTGATCTGGCAGATCTGTGCGCATTCCTTGTTCTCGAGGAAGGGGGAGATGGTTCTACACAATCCTGTCAGCTCTCTCCAAATTAGTTTGACCTTTTTAGGAGAGAGAATTGCACCCTGCTCCATAGACCTGAGAAAAGCAGAAACTCAAATTCGTTAAAAATCCCCCATACTTCCTGTCCCTCTGCTGTCCTCCACAACAGGTCTTAGAGCCACTAAAGCCTCACTTTCCCTCACTGTTTATAAGTACTTTTCCTTTGAAGAGGAACAACTTGGATTCTTCCACCCTGGCCTTGACAGCTACACCAGGCCCTCTAATGACTGCATCTGCCACAGGGTGTAGGAGGGCATAGGGCCAAGTTAGAGGTTGTTCTCTTATTTGAAAGACAAGCATAATCATTCTTGACTGAGTGAATAAATGTGTGACTAACCCACAGTAGTACTGGCAGTGATAAAATGATAATGTGTGCAAAGCACTAACAGAAGTTATTTGCTCTATAAACAGTACTAGAGGGTGCACACCAGTAATCCCAGCATTCAGGAGTCTGAGGAGAGGATCCCAAGTGCAAGGCCAGTCTGGACTACTCAGTGAGCGCCTGTCTCCAAACAAAAGTAGTTGTTAGATATGACCCAGTGAGTTTCTGAAAAACCCTGTCAATCCAAGTTTATTTTCCTGATCTTTCAAAAGTCAAGTGACCGTGTTTTCAGGCTTGTGAGGAGACAGTGTGGGATCTTGCAGGTCATCATGGACAGAAGGTTGATAGCACTCCTTTTCACTCTTAAATATTTTCCATTTTGATTTTTTTTTTT